CAAATCAACCATACTGAGTCCACTTACAAATGAGCAGATGAAAAAATCAGGCAAACCTAGTAGTTTTGGGGGTGAAGGAATGTTCTGAACTTAGATCATAGCGATGGCAGCACAACTCTGATGTTCTAAATCCTCTATGTACTTTTAATAGATGAACCACAGGACATGTACATCACGGAACAGTAACGGTGTGGGGGATTAAGACCAAGGCTGTGACCAGAAGGGGGCTGGAGGAGACTTCCGGGGCATTAATAATGTTATCTGACTCGGGTGCTAGAAACTTTAGGAAAAGTTCACTTTGAAAAATATATCAGGACATGGTGCTCTTCTGATTTGTCCTTTTTTGTGTGTTACACAGTTACTTAAAAATTTACATTAAAAGGAATGTAGGGGCGCCTGGGTGGCTCAGTGGGTTAAGCCTCCACCTTCAGCTCAGGTCATGGTCTCAGGGTCCTGGGATTGAGCCCCGCATCAGGTTTTCTGCTCGGTAGGGAGCCTGCTTCCCTCTCTCTGCCTGCCTCTCTGCCTACTTGTGATCTCTCTGTCAAATAAATAAATAAAATCTTTAAAAAATAAATAAATAAAAATGAAATAGAAAAAAAAAATAAAAGGAATGTAATCCAGCCCTACCTGAGCCTTGGGAAGTAATCATTAAAGGCCTGCACCAATTCTCAATACATATTTGATGCATGATACTGGTCACTTAGGTATCTTTTTCTGCCTTCAGCCCTACCTCTGAACTCCCATTTATTTTATATCTTGTTTCATCTCGCTTTATACCATTGACAGCCAGCACAGGTGGCCACCTAGCCCTGCCAGCGCCAGGCCGTGTGCTGTGGTTATTCCCCCCTTGGTGGACAGTCCTCATCTGAAACAGGATTACTGCTTCCCAAGTACTCAGCACTGGAAAAGTTTAATAATCTGCTCTACTTCACACTAACCTTGAATGCTGAGTATTATCTCTGTAGCTCTGTATTTAAAAAAAAAAAAAAAACCTTTTTAAAAGTAGAGTCCTTTTGCCCTGAATTCATCTACCAGGTCATTTCCATCCTTAACTCTACTGATAACTGGTGGTCTTAATCAGTGGTTTTCAAACTACTGGTCACAGTGCATTGATGCGTTGTAAGCCAGTTTGTGGAGTCAAGGCCAGTATGTTTTTAAAAGAAATACAAGAGAAGAGTATGTGAGTGCCTTTGTTTCAGTTCCATATGCGTTTATGTACGTATGCATTTGTTACTGTCTGAGATGTGGTCAGAAAGTTTCCAAAGCTACAGCTTTAACTCTCCTGCTTCCCGGGAGGGCAGAAGCTCAAGTCAGGCTCAGGCTAAAGATTCCTGACTGCTCAAAGCCTTAAAGACAGAGCAGATGGACAGGAAAGGCAATTTGGTTTCGGCAAGCTGTCACACTGGGAGTTCAGAAAGGCATGGAGAGCAGACTGTACAAGTTGTGGAAAGAAGCTCGGTGAACGCGTCTGAGGTCACTGATCATACTCAAAAGGAAGCTCGAAAGTTCTTAGCTGCTCTCCATGGTGAAAGTATGTGTCCAGCTGGAATGCTGTGAGGGAAGGCTGACAGTATTTTCAAACCTGGTGCTTAAAGATGGGGAGGCACAACTCCACAAAACCAAGACACCCGCTTCAACAGAGCAATCCCGATGGCAGCATGAGGACGGGTAGCTCCAGCAAGTTGTACCAAGGACCCTGGGGGGTTACAATGGGGACACCTGGGTAAGTAATCACAGCTTTCATAATAAGCGGTTTTGGTAAATGTACAAAAACCTTTTTCTAAATGAGCATGGCTCCAAAATCTCGAATGGGGTCAGCTCACACCACAGCTGCCACCGCCGGCCACACCACCTTCCCCCTAGTTACTCCACACCACCAGAACTTATTCTTAAATTTCAAAAGATCTGCAGGATACCATTAACCATTACACTACTAGTGTGTGGTTAAAATTCAGCCAACGAAGCGACAGCGTCTATGATGAAAACCAGTTGCCATAACAGTGTTCCCACAGTGACCCTCGGGGGACTGGCGCTGGCTCCCCATACTCCGGACAGCTGGAAACTCTTACATAAATATGCCGTGAGAAAGTTCTTGTAGTTCAGGACTCCCAATGTGATCCCATATCCTACATTTCTACAGGATCGAGTTGGTCTGCGAGGGGCTTCATGTGAGCACAGTGGGGGAGGTACATCTCCAAGACACTCAAAGACAACTGCCACACTGCAACTTAAGGCTCCCCTTTCACTGCAACTGCCCCAAGTTCGACCACCTTCCATATGAAGCATTAAAAGGGGGTGACTGTGTGGCTGAAGAGGAGTCAGGGATAGGAATCCCCAAATTCAAATCTACCAAAGACACTGGAACACTTTTGTGTTGTCTTTTCTAAGCTGTTTGTTTTCAGAATAAATTACTTTCTTTCAAGTGAAAAGACAGTTGCGTTTCTCAAGTATTTACCGAGGTCAACACCCAGGGCAATCCAGAGTGTGAGAGTAGGTCAGGAAATCACCAGATGGAAGAACTTAACACCAAGAAGCCCTACTGCTATCAATCCTATTTCCCATTCCTCCCAATTCTTGCCAAATTCGGAGCAAATCCCTAAATTCTGTGACTCGTGATGGCTGCCTTCCCAGCTCAGGTCTCCTGGGACCTCGCCCTTCTCTGTAGGAGATCTGGACCATCCTCATTCTCTCTCTCCCTCAATTGTCTTTGGCTTCAACTTTATTTTCCTAATTTTCCCCCAAAGACTGAGAGCATGGCCCTGGCTTCCAGATTGCCACAGGCTCTGTGTTGTAATGCTAAAATACAATGCTTGGTCTCCGCAGTTGGCAAGAACACTCCTAGGAAATACAATACGACTTCTGAGAGAAAACCAGAATTTCTTAAATTTGACTCCAAAAAGACAGAATGCCTTTGGACAGGAGTCTGGGCCACAAAAGAATGGTTATTTCAGGGCTGTGATTAATTTTTGAAGGATGCCTTTATTATTTTAAAAATGGCTAAAACCAGAAGAATGTCATATCTGCTGAAATACAATTTTCATGCTGTGGAGAATCTGGGAGGTCACTGTTCTATATAGCCACATGATTATTTGCACTTAGCAGAAAATCTTTACTTTGAGGGAAATGGAAAGCTTTTCTATGAACTTGCTTCCCTCTACCCAAGCCCACAGACTATAGAAGGTGACCATTTTTTCTCCCCAAACCTTCTACCATATGGATCAATTTTAGAAGGTGTTGGTATCACATGATAGTTTCTTCTTTGTGTGGAGTATTAATTAAAAGCAAACAGGAAGACAGTATGAAGTCCTCGGATTACCATGCTGTGGTCTGACAAAAAAAAAAAAAGGCAATTTGGGGAGTATTCATTCAACAGTACTTATCAACAAGTCTGACACAAAAAAGACTACATAACTCAAGTCTAGACTAGCATCCTAGCTTATGGAAGTCTCTCATCTGCCCTAGAGTAAGCTCTCCTAAGTCCTAACTAATTTAATCGTAAGAAATGGTTTCCAAAGTGGGGAGTGGGTCAGGGAGTAAGCCTGATTCAATTCACGACGGCAGGCTCCAGCCACCCCGAGCAAAAGCCAGCAGAAATGATCCGACAGGCAGGGCCATACGCAAGTGACCACAAAAGGCTCTCAAGACTTCCCAAAGGGGCCAAAATAGGTGACCGTGAAGCTGAGAAGCTTCCCCCACCTACAACTCAGCGGACTCTAGCTTCCCCCATGATCTCTCACCCCCCTTCAACTCCGAACTGACTGAAAGTGGGAGCTGTCAAGAGCCCAGACACAGTCCCTGCTTGGTAACCGCTCCTACCCCAATAGCTCTTGCTGCTACCACCCCGTCGCTGGGGTTCCCGTGACCTGAGCACACATCGTCCCTAGGCACAGGGCTCAGGAACGCTACTGTGGCAACACTCGAGGAACAAGGACACAAGAACCAGTACTGGCTGGGCTCTCATTTGCCAGGCAGAGTGCTAAGCATTTTATTTGACTTGAACACCACAACGGCGTGCTGAGGTATACACTCCAATTCCTCACGACCGCTTGCAGATGGGGAAATGAAGTGGAGAAAGGCTAAGTGATGCCCAGGGTCACGCACTCATGGGGGGAGAGCCGGGATCTCCAGCTCGGCAGTGCTGCCTCGGGAGCACCCCCTTACTGCTATCGACACAGTCACCCCACCTGGGCAGGTCGGCTCCCTTCACCCACCTTCCTCTATTAACCGAGTCCTCGCAGCTCGCAGACCATAGCGATTCATCACCACTATTTGCACAGGACACTGAGGTCCGGAAGCCTTCATCTGGGCCAACTCAGACCCGGCCTACTGGGTCAGGCAGGGACCGAAGTTCTGGGCCCTTGTCCTTCTGCCCGGTGGCACAGAGCCAGGGGCGACAGCCCACCACAGACCCTGCGACAGGGAGACTCGCCGGCAGTCCTAGTATGGGAAGAACCAGTGGTGTCCCAACAGCTCCATCCTTGGCTGGCTTGACAATCCACTGCCCCACCTTGAACTTTGATGCACTGGGGTTCCTTAACTTAAACTTCTGTTGGTATCATGTACCATCTTTTTCAAATCACGATTTCCTTTTAATTCTTTCTGTCCCGAGAGATGACAAATACTAAAATTCACACTCCTTAGAAGGTAAAAGCAAGCCTTGAAATGCAAGAAAAACAACACTGCAGTTAACAGTAGTAATATTTACATTCCAATTCTACTGCAAGATGGCAAAAGTTCAGCAATATTTAAGGACTATAAAGTTTCATTAAATGGTTCCATATTTTTGTTGAAATATATAAAAATATCTTTTAAAAATGTTACATAAAAGACAATGTGAAAATCACCATATTTTACAGAAAGAATTAAGTCCCATCTTCAAATGTTCCTTTTCAGGCATCTAACTGCCAGCCTGCAGGTCTAGAGGGAAGACATCATTTTAGACCCCCTTCTGGGACAGTTGTCTACACATTTAAATTTGAAGAAGTTTTTAGAATTTTTTGACTATTTAAAGTAAATGACACAAAAATCAGTTTGTAGCAGATGTGACAGAGCCAACACCGTTTCTTAACACTGTGAGAGTAGTATTAGGTAGAACTCAAACACAGGAAACCGCGTTCGTTGCTCTTCTTCCCTCACTCTTGCTGGTAATTCCAGAAGTCTATGCCACGTCCACTCAAGTTTCCCGTTACTTTGACACCATTCACAGACTTCACAGTGCATTGTACTCCACACATTTTGATGGATCTGTAGGAAAGTGCTTCTGGCAAATGGTCATTAACCTCTTCAATCCCTAAGAAGATAATAAGAATAAAGACCGGTTATGATAGAGCTGAATGAACTATTCTGAATCACCCTTCGTTTTACTCATGGGTTTACCAATGTCCCCATGAAAACGAAGCACCCCAGCAACATCAACCAGATGTACACGGAGAGAAATGTTTATTCACACACACCCAAGATGCATACAACACAGAGCGAAACTGTCCACAACAACGAAAGTGCGGCAATGACCCAAACGTCCACGAGAGGAGAAGAGATGAGTAAGCTTTACCATGCTCACACATGGAACATTTTATAGCAGTAAACTTAGCATTAACTAATATTAACTTAGTATTAACTAGTATTAACTCAGTATTAACTAGTATTAACTCAGTATTAACTAGAACTCCACTGGGTTCCAACGGAGAGTGAAGCCCAAAGTGCCACTCTTGAGCACCCATGGTAGGTAGGTACCCAGATCGCAGCTCTCCAGTGCACCTAGAAAGTGCTGCATATGTACCATCCTTGCGAGAACTGAGAAAACACACAAGATGTTCTGTGTTCCATGCAGGAATTCTGATGATGAGGGATTCTGGTTGAGAACTGAAACAGATGCATCTTAGAAACAATACTGAACATAAAAAGCAAGTAGCAAAGGCTTGTAAGTATAATGTCATTTTAATAAAACTGAAGAACAATTTTAAACAATACATGACTTATAAATACACACACGGCATGGAAGAATTACTTCTGAAAAAAGCAAGGCAATGGCAAATTCTGAATAACAGTTACTTCTGGGGTAGAGGAGGAAAACAGTCAATGTTCTTTGCATGTTCTAGTTCTTAAGCTGGGAACCGGTCTTTAGATAAATTTTTTGTTTCATAACTTATATATTACATGTATTCTTTTATATTACCAAGTATTACATGATAAAAACATTCTAATATAAGCGTAAGAGCACAGTACAGCATCCCAAACCTAACCCAGCTATTCCTTCAGAATTCAGTCCAAGGACCCCATACTGCCTCTGTTCTACACCTCTGGCATCTGTCACCAGGCTCTGGTTCTTTTCAAGCAACTAAGACACACGGGATCTCACAAATTTCAAGTGCTTGTCTCTCTTCTGCAGTTTGGCTAGTTCTTCACCAATCTAACTTTTTAGAGACTTGGAAATCGTTGACAAGAACTGCCACTATTAGATTTCATTCGGCCCCCTGCAGCTGACCCTTCACAGATCCTTCTGTGATCTTTCAACATCCTTAGCTGGCATCTGGCTTTTAGTTATTCCTCTAGGCTTTCTCATCCATCACTGAGCAAACATACCTCTAAGTCATTATCCGAATTCACCAACTGGAGAGGGACAAGAGTAGAAACCTGCAACATGTCACTACAGATCTCTCCAGAACAATTCTGGAAGAGCTCCGCCAACAGCAATGGATCCTATTCACTCTCGTCTGCCAGTCTACTAGCTTTGTTTACAAGGAGACGCTCTGCCCCATGTTTTATTGCGATCTACACATAAACCACCACCACCAAGCATAATGGCACTTCATTTTAATGACCCACAATGTATTGTTTGGCACAAATTAGTTTAAGGTTTCTCACCTTGGGTTTGCAAAAGCTGAAGCCACCCAGTTCCTATCACAGTTACGAGAACAATGAAATCCTATCACAGGCCAAAGGCTGGCTTCGGCCAGAGCTCTACCGGATACTGAATATGAAAATGTATACAGCGCACTGCCTGCTACTTAACTAGGATTCTGTCAGGATTCAGTATCTTTCCTCAAAACAATACAACAAAATAGCATCTGCTCTTAAAACAAGGAAGAGCTTCACAGCCTAGCAGGAAAAGCAGTGTGCGGCTATCATTATACAGATCGTTATACAATGCAGTAACACAAGGGTGTATCTGGAAGTCTGAGGAGGAAGGGCAAAACACAGCCTGAAAAGGCCCGCTGACGTAACAGGGACCCAAGTCACCATCATGCATTTAGAACTCTTGCTCTGTAATTACCGAAAGTATACAAACAACACTTACACTCAGGAAATCACCAAAAGCCAAACAAAATCAATAATGAGAACAAAAGTCCCTGCGAAACCTCTTTGGTGCCACAGTTAACTGAACACAAATATACATCCCCCCAAATACACAAGGAACTACAGCCTAACAGATCCAACATCTGAGGAGCATGATTTTCAAGCACCTCACCTGAAGTCCTTCGTAGATTCAAAGCGTAGCCACACTGTGCTAACTTAAGAAGCGGGAGTGTGGAGTAAGGTTATGCTTCAGCTGACTTCCAAGGAGACATATGCAGGCAGTGCAGAGAGAGACCGTGTCATTCACCTCGCTCCCTGCTCACGTCTTCTTGCGGTCGGCCCCCGTGGTCGGGGTTTGCTTCAGGATGAAGACCCTCCCCTCTCACAGTGCAGCTTCTCCCGCTGGGAACTCTAACCATGTGCATGCACACATGTGATCTGTAGCCATGGAAATGTAGGTGATCGCACTTGTGTGGCACCTTATACTTTCTGGACGAAGAGGTGAGAAGGCAGAGGGCTGAGAAAGACCGCGCCAACGAGATGCAAGCAGCCTTAGTCAGCTACAACACGCCAAGAAGGATTACGAGCCAATACGAGGCCACCTGGTGTTCAGACTGCTGGAGGTAGTGTTCCCTGTAAGAAATGGAATCTTGGGGGCGCCTGGGTGGCTCAGAGGGTTAAAGCCTCTGCCTTTGGCTCAGGTCATGATCCCAGGGTCCTGGGATCGAGCCCTGCATCGGGCTCTCTCCTTGGTGGGGAGCCTGCTTCCTCCTCTCTCTCTGCCTATCTGCCTACTTGTGATCTCTCTCTGTCGAATAAATAAATAAAATCTTTAAAAAAAAAAAAATGGAATCTTGGCTGTTGGCTCCTCATAGGAGATATCTCTGATGCTTACTTAACTTCACTAAGCAGATTCTAGGATTTAAAAATAAATACCAGTATCCTGTCTGGAATCTCAGCTGCCAAAAGGTTGTGAAAGTCAACAGTCTGAGTCATAAATGGTTACCACAAAACATTATGACCCACTTCTGCAGTAAGGACTGATAGTACGCAGCACACATTTTTCAAGGGGTGTAGTGTCAGGACAGCATATGGTTATTTTCCAAATTAGAAACAAATCTTTTCAATTAGATCCCCCAGGATTTCCATTGCCAATTGCTCGAGGATGCTTACACCAGTCAGACAACGAACTGCTTTGCTTAGCTTATTGCAAATAGCTTCCTAAAAACTGGTGCCATTTTTAAATGTAATTTTTTTTCCCCATGAAAGCAATACATTTATTTAAGAAATCTTTATTCAGGGGCTACAGTGTGCCATGCACAGTTTCAGCTGATAATATGGGAACAAAGCAGACAAAAATCCCCACACTCATTAAGATTATATTCTAATGAGGGAACACAGCCAAGAAACAAAAGGAGTATGTAAAACATGTAATATTAGATGATAAATGTGATGGAGAAAAATACAGCAGGGAGGGGTGTGTGTAGATAATGGGGAGTGGCCAGAAGGGCATTTGAGCTTTTACTCCAAGTGAACTAGGACACCACTGCAGAGCTCTGGGCAAGAGAGCATCATAATCTGATTCATACTTGAACTGCCTCGCTCTGGGTACTGTGCAGATCCTGAAGAGGAGCAAGGAGCTGGGGTGCCTGGCTGGCTCAGTTGGTAGAGCATGCAAATCTTGATCTCAGGGTTCTAAGTTCAGGCCCCATGTTGGGTGTAGAGATTACTTAAAAATAAAATCTTGAAAAAAAGAGAAAAAAGAACAAGGATACAAGCTCAGAGTCCAGACAGGAGACGCTGTAGTAATCCAGGTAAGAGAGGTTGGTGGCTGAGCCCAGGGGGCAGCAGTGATAGTGCGGAAAAGGGCCCAGACCACAGACAGACTCTGCATATAGAACCACAAGGTTTGCTGACACACAGGTTATGGGCGGAGACAGAAAAATAACGCCATGTTTTGTATACACACAATTATTTTTTTGAAATCACATGCTTCTTAACTGATAGCAGTCCTCTGCCTCACACTTTCCAGTCCCTAATTCCAGCGCCCCAGAGGCAACCACTTTAAATCTCCTGTTTCTTCTGGTATTTACGGATATTGACAGGGCCTGATTTTTCTTCTGTCTCAAAATCATCTCTACGGACTTCCTACTGTGAAAGCTGAGATTTAATCCTCTTATGCCACACTCACTGGCCCTGCACAAGCATACACACCTAAATGCAATTCTCTTCCCCATTCTCCCCAATCGTAATTCCTAGTGAATGCAACATTCAGGATTTACTGCATACTGTCTACACAAATATTATTCAAAGCAGAGCCATGCAGCATATTATGACGATATCTCCTTTCATATTTTTCTCCTTTTGTTTATGGAGATACCGCCAATTCACTTTTCACCAGTAGACTACGCTCAATATGGCCAAACAGAACAGGTATTAAATCTGTTCCATTTTTCTCCTGGAGCCCTCTCTGTGTTCCAACCTAGAACAAATGAATTCCGGAGCTCCCTGTACTGCTGTTACCCTAGTGCATCCCTTCACCTCCAACCCGGCAGTTCCTTCTGATTCACTCCTGTCCTGGATCTTGTTTCCTGGATCTTCTGTTTCCCTCTGTCACAGTGATGGAGCACATCCTCAAGCTCATCTGCAGTCTAACACCGTGGACTTAGGTTCAAATCCTCATTCCGCCACTTCCTAGCTGGGTAACCCTGCGAACTTCTCCACAGCTCAGTTTCTCCACTTGTAAAACAGAGAAATTATACCATCAACCGCATACTGCTGCTCCCAAGTACTGAAGTGAAGCATCCAGTGAGCACGATATAAATGTTAACAATGATTCCGAAGAAGGATACGTGAGAGGTCACATTCTGAAGACATTCTGAGACTCATCTGAAAACATCTCTAGCTTATATTCACACTTCACGGATAGTTCAAAGAAGAATGTAAATGAGTTGAAAATTATTTTCCTTGTTATGACACAGGTACTCTCCCACT